TAAAGCGCCAGCGGCAGGATAGGGATATACAGCCATTTCGCATACCATTCTACACCGGGGTAGAAGACCCCTTGACTCACCTCCACTCCTTCTAATCGGCAGTCGGATGCAAGGGTCTCAGCGACGAGAGGCAATGCCTGCTGTTCCCATCCTCCCTTACCGAAGCCGCATTGAATTAGTTTTACAATCTGGAGCCTGGAACGGTAGATTCCTTTAATGAACTAAAGCATATTTTCCTTAATCACTTTATGATCCAGACAGACCGTCTGTACTCTGCCAATGATCTATACACGATTCGGCAAAGGGAGGACGAACCCCTACGGGAGTACGCAGCGCGCTTCAGTCATTAATACTCAAGGTGTCCGAAAATGGATGATAGGGCAGCCTACGGTGCCTTCAAGAGTGGCCTTCAGTCCTCTCACTTTTGGTACCTTGTACACAGTAGCAACTGTCGCACATATGACGAATTGATGAAGCAAACGGCAATTCACGCCAAGGCAGAATATTTCAACTCAAATTCTGGGCCATCGGCTCAGCAAGAGGAGCCAGCCTTGAATAGCTATCCTAGGCAAAGATCACCGTATGCCCCCATAAGAATTGACGAACCCTCGGTAGGGCGCAAGCCGAAGGATGATGCGACAATTGGTAGGGTGGCTCTAAGAATGGACGAGGAAAATAAGGTCGCAATGACCACCGTGCGCCCTTGCCGAATCACGACCGCGCACCGGAAGTCTTCACTCTGTTGAATACAACTTACGAGGCAGTCTTGATGAATGAGCACGAGATACTACCCAAGCCAAATCACCGAAAGCCCAATCGGCAGGACAATCTGGATACAGGCAAATTCAGCCGATACCACCAGCATAACAGCCACAACACCGAGCACTGCATAAGTCTAAGAAAGATCGTTGAACGCCTGATTCGAGAAGTAAAGCTAGACCAACACATTGCTAGACCACAGCAGGCACCAGTCCCGAACGTGAACCGACAGATCAACATGATCAGCACCATCAACAGAGGTCCCACTTTGGCAGGATCATCAAACCGATCAGTGAAACATTACGTGCGTTCCGCTCACTACCCTTAAGTCTTCGGCATAAAGGTCAACCGGCACCACAAGGTACCGAAGGTGGGGTGGGAGCATATCATGTTTTGTGAGGAAGAGGAAGAAGGGATCATTTACCCCCACGATGACCAGATGATCACTCGGGCTGAAATCATTGACTACGATGTAGGACGGGTGCTGATCGACAATGGAAGCTCGGTAAACGTAATCTTTACCGATGCTTTCAAAGCAATGGGAATAGCAGATAGCCAAGTCAATCAGCAAATAACCCCATTACTGAGCTTATCTGGGGATCTGGTCCACCCAGTCGGCAGCGTCAGTTTGCCCATCGCCTTCGGCATTGCCCTTCATAAAACAATGATATATGACCAGTTCCTCATTGTGGACTGCCCAACGGCATACAACGTCATCATCAGACGAACGGCACTCACCGGAATCAAAGCTCACCTGTCCCCCCACATGTTGCTGATGAAGTTCCCAACCTGCAACGGTACTGGCGTTATCTGAGGAGATCAACTCAGCGCGCGGACGTGCTATGCGACTGCCCTAAAATTGGTAGCTTGCAAACCTCCGATGGAAGCCATGTCTGTGCAGGGGCTACTGAACGGTAGCGGGCCAATGGACGACCCTAGAGAGGAAACCCCAATGCCGGTAGAGCAACCTGCCGAAGAACTGGAAATAGTAGTGTTGAACGAAGAACATCCCGACTTGTGTGTAAAGATCGGCACCACACTCAACCCCCACCTCCGGACGCAGTTCGTTTACTTCTTGCGACACCATGCCGAAGTCTTCGCTTGGTCTTATGATGATATGCCCGACATATCCCAGAGGTCATCAGCCACAAACTCAGCATCTCCCCTGCCTATAAACCTATCAGACAGAAGCGCCATTCGTATGATGCCGAACGGTACGAAGCCATGAATACCGAAGTTGACAAGCTTAAAGCCATCGGCTTTATCAGGGAAGCTACGTACCCTATCTGGCTTGCAAACTCGGTCATGGTTCGGAAGACCAAAGGTGGATGGCGAATGTGCCAGGACTATACCGACCTGAATAAGGCCTGTCCGAAGGATAGCTTCCCATTGCCCAAGATCGACCAGCTTCTTGACGCAACTGCCGGTCACGAGCTGCTCAATTTCATGGACGCTTATTCGGGATACAACCAGATTTTCATGCACCCTGCCGATAGCGAACATATGGCATTCATCACGGACAGGGGGCTGTATTGCTACGACGTCATGCCGTTTGGCTTGAAAAACGCGGGGGAAACATACCAAAGACTGGTCAACCGAATTTTCGCTAAACACATTGGTAGCATCATGAAGGTGTATGTCAATGATATGCTGGTGAAGAGTCGAACGGCAAGGAGGCATCTAGAGAACTTGGCCCTTATGTTCGGTATACTGAAGGACTACCGAATGAGACTAAACCCAACGAAGTGCGCCTTCAGTGTGTCTTCGGGTAAGTTTCTCTGCTTTATGATCAGTCAGAGAGGGATCGAAGCAAATCCCGAGAAGATCAAGGCCATAATCGACATGGAGAGGCCAAAAACACAAAAGGACATTCAAGGCTTACGTGTCGCCGCCCACGTTTCATTTTCAAGGCTACCAATAAATGTGTACTGTTATTTAGAGCCTTGAAAGGGGGCAAACAACATATTGCATGTATTGCCGAATGGATTGCCTATTGTCAAAACCACTTCCCGGAGAAGTTCTCCTTCTCTACCTTTCGGTATCAAGCACTACCGTCAGTTCAGTGTTGATACGGAAGCCAGATAAGGCAGAGCTACCGATATTCTATGTCAGCAAAGTGCTGTAGAGCGCAGAGCTTCGAAATCCCCCCTTGGAGCAGCTAGCTGTAACACCCCGACTCTGTTTAATTTCCAATGCGAATGGAAAAAACTAAATTAAAATATGAAATTACGAAACTACCCTCGGGGTAGGGTCTTTCGGTCATTTTCTTGTCCAGAAGGATTTTGGGACCACAAGTGGTTTGGTTGCGTAGGTGGTTCTGAGATGAATTCGTGGACAGGCGGTAGGCTTGAATCGGAGTTATACCGAGGTTTTGGCGATGAAATTTCTTTCGGTGGCAAAACCGTAAATAACTCGAAAAGGGTTTTTGTCAAAATAAAATCAGATTTTTATTTTTATTTCTTTCTTTTCCCTCTCTCTCTCTCTCTCTCTCTCTCTCTCTCTCCCTTCGTGCGGTCCCTCTTCCCCCCCGACCCGACACTCTCTTTCTCTCTCTTCGTTTCTTCCAGCTCAGGTCCCGGCAGGGGCCAATAACGGTCCCGTTGGCTTCGCCCTG